GTTGTTCCCTTCTCTGTTCCTCCCTGCGTGCCCTATGATGAAGAGGGGTGGGCCTCAATGCCCAGCCGGACTGTGCCCTTCCCCAGTTTCCTCCACATCCACCGGAGCCACCCTCCCACTCCCTGTCAGCTGTTCCACCTCTCCAATCCAACAGGGACATGACAATGACCTTGACTTCGAAGAAGAATGCTATTCTGTCTAGCCACATACACTCCAAGAAACTCCCCCCTCCTATTTTCCCCAGGCTCAAGAAGGTGGCAGCGTGGAAGCGCCTGGTGCTAATATGACTTCCGAAGCTGACACGCTGCTTGTATCCCAGAGACAGGAGATCACTTTTGCAGCCCTTTTCTCATAGTCTGCAATGCAAACACGAATATGACAAATGCTTCCGTGGTGGAATTCAACATATTTTTTACTACCGGTTCTGTGGGTACGCACTTCACTCCTGACCCGCGCTACCAGATCGCTCGAACCGGAGCGAACTGGCATCGTACCGTCTCTGAAAGGCTTCTGGATGTAACATTCCCTTCTTGTACGCATTAGATTCATTTCCCATCAAGATGAACAGCCTGGCAACATTTTCCCCATGGAGTTTGTGTCGGAATCAAGGCTTGTACCGCAACAGCGCGTGCGCCGCGACATTTTTGTGCATTTGGTGCACTAGGGATTTTCGGGAGCCAACCCCGAGTAATAAACACGAGATGTGACAAACTCATTCATCATCCTGGCTTGGAAGAAAACTTTACATTTTTTAAAACCGATTATGGATCCGAGAAGAGCCCGCATGCTTGTGCGCACGTCTATATCTAGGCCTTTGATTGTATTATATATAACGTATATTTGATTATGTTTGAGACATGATATATCTCACTTATCAGATGATAAATGGCAGTGAAATTGACCCTCCGACCTTACAAAAATGAAAGCAGGCAGGGCTATTCTTCAATTTTTATTTTATTTTATTTTTTTTTCCTCCTGAAACAGATGGAGTGACTTTAAAATATTAAACAGCCGCTCCCAGCATTCAGGATTTAGAGAATTTGAAACAGTGGCCTATCGGGAGAGTCGTGGTTAAGATGGAATATAGGGGTTGAGGTTGGGAAGCAGAAACTGACCAAATAGCCAACCGTAAAATTATATTTCAGAAGCCAATTCATGCACGATAAAACATTGGCTTTGGTTGAAGTGGTGACAGTAGAAATGAATAAATTAGAACAAGAGGGATGATGTGATGCTGAACCTAAATACAGCTAGTCCTCAGCTCACAATAGTTAAATTAGTGACTGTTCGAAGTTACGATGAGTTGTAAGTGACTTACAACTGATCCTCGCACTTACAACCATTGCAGTGTCCCCATGGTCAGCGTGATCAAATTCAGACTCTCGGCAACTGGTGTGTATTTATCATGGTTACGCCATCCCACGGTTGGGTGATCATTGTTTGTGACCTTCCCAGCTAGCTTCCTGCCAGCAAAGCCGATGGAGGAAGCCTGGATTCACTTAATGACCGCTTCTCTTACTTCACAACAAGTTCTGTAGAGAGAGAGTTTTTTTTCTGCGGACTGGAAGGTGTGTGGTTTCGCATGCTGCCTGCATCCCGCGGATTGGGCCTCGCTTGTTTGCGCGGCCCGGTTTTTGGCATATCGTGGCCTGCTGCTGCTCCACAGATAGGGGGACTGGCAACCTCTGCGTTAAACCATTTACACCAGGAGTGTCAAACTCAAGGCCCGTGAGCCAGATCCGGCCTGTGGGGGTGTTTAGATCTGGCCCGCAGGGGTGCCCTAGAAACAGCGAAGGTGCCACAGCCAATGAAAACGGAGCTCAGGAGGGCTGCACTCAGTTTTCGCTGGGGCAGAGGGTTGCAGGAGGCCGTCCCAGCCTAAAACGGAGCTTGGGAGGGCTGTGTGTGACTGTGCGTGGCCCTCCTGAGCTCCGTTTTTGCTGGCAGAAGGTTGCAGGAGGCCGTCCCAGCCAAAAATGGAGCTCGAGAGGATCATAAGTGGCCGTATGTGGCCCTCCTGAGCTCCATTTTCGCTGGCAGAGGGTTGCAGGAGGCCATCCCAGCTGAAAACAAAGCTCAGGAGGGCCGTGTGTGTGA